CCGCCTGTGGACCTATGCTACTCACTTGGCCGGAGCCTCTTCTGGGCGCGGCCACCATGAAAACATCCTCGGAGTCGTCATATACGTCGACGACTCCCAAGCATCTGCCGGATGCTTTAATACCCTGGCAGCCCTCGCGGGCGCCCCGGGTCCTGACAGAGGTGGGAACATGACTCACCAATGCTCTGTCGGACTGCGCAGGGCGGCTGGCGCCGATTGCCTTGCCTCGCCAGTCGATCCAGGGCTCGTGCTTCTCAAGCCAGGGCATGCCCAGGATCATATCATATGGATCCATATCGAGAACAGTGAGCTGTTCGAGGCTGTCAAAGTCTTCAAACTTGACGGCCAGATCCACTTGGACGTTGGGGACAGTGACGACCTTCCCGTCGGCCAGTCGTACTGACACCGTCCCGTTGCCCTTGCTTTCTCTCAAAGCATCGGACAACTTGTTGCTGTTGCGGGCAATCGTCTGGCGGCGTGCGAAACTCTTCGACGCCCCAGGATCGATTAAGATTCAAAAGGGATGATCGTATCCCCGTACACATCCGTGTACTACGAGCAACCCGCCGCTGATCTTCGCCGATTCGAGAGTGCGAAGACTCTCAGGGGCTAAGTCCCCGTGGTACGCGCCACCCGCGCACCCATCACGAAGACTTAGTTTTTCCCCAGTAGGGCGCCTCGCCCCTACTGGTTCCTGGCGTTCCCCTGTCCTCGGGATCCTGGCTTCTGCCAGCGACCCTTGAGAACGGGCTTGAGGAAGGACCGTCTGCGGAGTCTTTCCGCGGGACATTCGCGCTTGAAGTGGCCCATCTTCCCACAGCCGAAGCAGCGGATGTCACGCTGTTCGGCGGACCCGAGTTCCATGGGAACTGGTCCGTTGGGGCTTGTTCGACCGGGGGCCGACATAGAACTCCCAGGCCATGCTGAGGCCGGCGTACGCGCCTGGCGATGGCTGTACTCTTCCTGAAGAGCCACTTGAATCGCCTCTTCAAGGGTGCTTGACTGCACCCGGAACAGCTGAGTGCGTGCGGGACCCACTCGAAGGCCGTCCATGAACACAGTCATCTTGATGTGCTCGTTGAGTGGGTTTCCCACTAGGGACGCCGTGAGCTCCCGTATCTCTTGCACATACTCGTGCAGTTCGCGCCTTCCTTGTTTACACGCGAGGAAGCGCGAACGCTGGCAGTACTCGTAGTTCGCCGGGAGGAACGCGGCTCGGAGCTGTTCGCACAGCTGAGCCCAGGATGTGAAATATCCAGGGGATGTTGCTTCCCGTGTGTACACCCAACTCTTAGCACGGCCGCTAAGGTTGGAGAATGCAAAAGCAACACGCAGTTGCTCTGTCGAGATCAGAGCCGCGTCCATCGCGAGCTCTACTTTTCGGACCCAGAAGTGAAGGTTCTCGCCTTCCTTCCCTTCATACGGCTTAGCCTTCAGCCGTGTTGGCTTCGGGTGAGGCGGATTTGCTTCCGCTGCCGGAGCCTGCAGGTTCTCCCGCACATGCACGATGAAGCCCTGCTCGTACGCGTCGAATGCATTGACGCCCTCGAGCTGCTCAGCCGGTGTTGATACCACCAGGCTCTGCAGGGCCTCCATCCCGAAGATGCCTGCCATCTTCCGAACCGACTCGAACTGAGAGTCGTTCATATGGGAGAAGTCGTTCCTATCCATGGCAACAAACTTCGGAGAGGTTCAGGTAGTCTACCCGCGGTGGCGTGGATTGACTACTAGTGTTACCAAGTATGACGGGGTCACACAGCACCTTGCGCTAGAGGAAGTTATCTTCCGAGAGTATACAAACTCTCAGTGAACGGCAGTTCACAGGTCCCCTCTTTAATTAAAGAGAGCGAAGTGACCTAAATAAGGTAGATTGTAAACTGAGTATATTTATAGGTAGATTAAGTTTGGGTTTAATACAAACTATTAGTAACCTATAGAAATGCAATGTCAATTTAACCAATGGTTGGCTTTGATCGACCTTGGTACCTTGTACCAAATATCCCGGAGTATGACGTGTCATACTCCTGAAGTGTGAAGTGTCACACTTCATGTAACCAGGGTACACTTAGGGCTACGTACCCCGTTACACCTGCCGACCAAGCCTCCCGAGACATGCTCCGGGATCGAGTTCCGACCGCGTAGACGCCCAGGCTCACCGCATCTTCGGTCTACCAGGGGTATGCTTATCGCTCAATAAGGGCACTGGTTTTGCGATCTAACAAACGATTGACCTCTTTTGTTTAGAAACGGTGCTCGCTCGGCC